TCAAAGGCGACGAACATTGCGCTCACCTATGGCGGTCAGGTCTTCCCTGCGACCACATTCCCCCCATGAACGTTGGCCAATATCTACCATGTACTCATTCATATTGTATTTTATCTTAGTAAATAAAGCACCAACGCGTCCTACAAATGTAATTATAATACAATGATAATGCAGAAAGCCTTTGACACATGTGAGACATGTCTAATCGCGTCTAATGACCAACAAAGGTAAGGAGGGACGAGGAGGACGCGTCCCACCATGTTCAATTGAAGCACGTGGTCGAGTTGGGGAGTTAACTTGCTGTGTCGACTCTCGGAGAAACCGGGAGTTTCTCCGAGACTTGACACGCAAGTCGACGGCTGTGGCATGGCAGCACAGCTTTGCTGCTTGCTCCCGACCACCATGTCCGCTGGCGCTTGACGCTGGTGGGCAACTGGTGGGCAGCCACCGCTGCCGCTGCCAATGCGCGCAGCATATAGAATAGACATATTATATATAATATTCAAGCGCTCTTGCAGTGCATTGATATCTTGTGAAAATTGAAGAAATTTGAAATTTTTGGAGATATTGAGGGTGGCGCTGTCAGGCGGGACAGCGAGCGCAATGGCGCAGCGAGACTTTGATGCGAGCTTGATGGGAGGCGAGTCTCGGAGAAACTTGCGGCGGCTCGGGGAGTTTCTCCGAAACTCGACACATCAAGTGGGCGTTGTTTGCCTTCAGCGCCTATTTCCCTTCTTGCTCTTAACCACCATGTCGTATATAGAAATGTAGTAGTAACAGTGTAATTAATATCGAGCACCATAGTGAAGAGAAATAGCATGTAGACATAGTAAAGTATCAACACCACATCAACGGTTGGTGAAGCCGACCCTGGAACTGCCGCTGGCGGTGTGGATTTGTGTGTAGAGTAGAAAATATTTATTGTAGACATACGTATCGGTACAATTTTGTGGAAGAGACAAGTAAAGTAAAGGACAATGGTGGCTTGAAAATACAAAGGAGAGACAAAGCAACCAACGAAAGAAATTGTGTGAGTGGCATTGGGAATTAAAGACCACCACAAAACTAACTTGGAACGAATTTACGTCAGAAACCCGCCAAAAACCCATGAAACTTACGAAGGCCCAGCACCAGGCCGCCGCGTCGTCATTGCCCGCTTATGAGCTGGCCGCAGGACCCTCGGTCCCTCACCATTTGGCCAAGCTCCCTGCGCACATCACCCGACGGCCCGATGTGCATCTATTCGGTGGAATCACCCTCATCCAACCCCGTTTACCCTCCCTCCTGGGCCAGTTCGGTCTGACGGAACAATGCGCGCCGAGCCCCGCCTATGTCGCCCACCGATGTTGCAGCCAACAATTTCGCAAAAAGTGGATCCGACGACCCCGACATGATGCCAATCGACGACACCCCGCCAGTCCCTGCTGCTAATCCAGGCCAACATCGCCACAAGCGAGCTGCGCAGTGGCAGCGGTGGCAGCAGGAGGTTATACCCGCCCTCTTGCCCCACTTCGCACGCTTGCTGCAGGAAACGAAGTCCTTGCACGACTTGGATGCATCCCACCCCAGTCGAAGCCCTTGCAATTGCAGCACAAAGCTCCCCAAGGTCGCAATCGTGCACTTTTCCAGTACGTCCCACATTGGCTTCGCAGTGGAGTTTCTGTCTTGCTAATTTTTTCCCAAGCGATCGAAGACCTCGAGCTCCAGGTCTGCAAGTGTACACCGGCGGCTGTACAGCTCATGCAGGTCGGCGCATTCGGCTGTGCTCCAATCCTGCCGTCGCTGGCGGTCGACTTATGGGTGCTGGAGTTCACGATGAATCTCTTTCTTCAGGTCGCACCGAATAATACTGCCATAAGCATCGCCCTGGAGCGCGTTCTATCTAATATGGGATTTCAGTTCGACCACCAAGTCAGTATTACTCGTGCGCCAGGTTCTTCCACTGACAGGACCGTCTAGAACTCACTAAGACAACAATTTGGGAACTGCTTGATGTGGTACACCCATCTACGCAACCGACTGAAAGCCAAGTATAACAGCGTTCTCGAAGCTGTCTGGGAGGTTCTGGCTCCGCAGGCAGATGCGGACCCAGAGGAGATCACGCTGCCTGGACCACCACCACCACCACCGTGCGGGCGTCAAGCCGAGTGGTCTGGACCGTGCACAGGATCGTCCTCTGGCACACCAACACCTCCTTCCCCCAAGAGTCGCTGTGCTAGGGCGTGCACACCCTCTCCATCACCCTCTCCTTCTCGCTCGAGGCATCGAGCTCCTTCCTCGGCCTCGCGGACTCCGACCGCCGAACTGCTTGGTGGGCGGCCGCCGCCCATGAGGCATCATAGACCTTCTCCCTCGCGCGAGCCACTTCCAGGGGGGCGGAAGCACAAGAGGGAATTGCCGCCAGAACCAGAGATCCCTTTCCCTGAACCGCCACCGCGAGTACCTCCGCCAACGATGTCCAGCGTGTTTTGGTAATCTGCAGCATGATCCGTCGGAAATGTAAGTACCCTACCCCGCATGTGAAGCCCGGCGCTAACAATGTTATCAGTGTGGACGTGATGGTGTCTATCGACGCCTGCTTCACGCAGAAGAAAAAGAAGTCGCCCAAAGATCCCCCCAAATACCACCCCGACACGCATTTCGTTCCCGAGGACCTCGCAGCGAAAACAGAGGCCTACGTTAATAGCGTGCGCAACACATCGAAAAACGAAACATGCCGCAAACGCCAGGTGCGGGATGTCGAGGAGGAGGAGGAGGAGGATGGCTACGAGCACGAGGAGCTACTGCTACCTCTCGACGGATGCGAGGCGTCCTTTAAAGCTGCGGATGAGAAGCGCGAGAAAGTAAGCACCGAGTTCTTCGAAGACACCGGGTTGATGGTGCTCCTGTGTCGTCACGACCGAGTACTCACCTCAGGCCACCCTAAAATGACCCCCCTAGGGCCTGTTTTTTGCCTGAGATAACTGGCCCAAAGGGGGTCATTTTTAGGTGGGTGTCCCATATAGCATGGGACATCCCACCATTTCAGGCAAAACAGGGTGGGCTGTCCCACTGTTTTCTAGTATGTCGGTGTGGGACATCCCACCTGTATACCGCCATTTATGGTGGGATATCCCACCCACCACCGGCGGGCCCGAATTTTTTTCCTGGGATAGCCCATGGACCCATTTTGTTACCAGGACCCCAGATACTGCCCCATTGAACAAAATGGGCTTTTTGCAGCCATATGGGCACCGATTCACCTTGTGCTTGGTGATTCTGGAAGCCCTGTATCGGGGCTCTTAGACTAGGTATAAACTAGCCAGATCGGAGCACCTTTTTTGTGCACTGATTTGTGGCTTTGCACCCACAAAATGGGCTTTTTGCAGCCATATGGGTACCGATTCAACTTGTGCTTGGTGATTCTGGAAGCCCTGCATCTGGGCTCTTAGGCCAGGTATCAACCAGCCAGATCAGAACACATGTTTTGTGCACTGAATTCGTAGCTTTGCACCTGCAAAATGTGTTTTTTGCAGCCATACAGGTACCGATTCAGCTTGTGCTTAGTCATTCTGGGAGCCCTGCATCAGGGCTTCTAGTCTACAGACAAACCATGCAGGTCAGGATATTTCTTTGCATTGAATTGTAGCTTTGGACCACCAAAAGGCATTTTTTGCAGCCGTATGGGCACCCATCCACCTTGTGCTTGGTGATTCTGGAAGTCCTGCATTAGGGCTTCTAGTGTACAGATAAACCTGCGCATTGGAGCATATTTCTTTGTGTCAAATTGTAGCTTTGTACCACTAAAAAGAACTTTTTGCAGCCATACAGTGCTTGATGGTCACATTTCACTTAGTTCTATTGTGACCCAGTGAGTTTCTGTGCACTTCAAACATATGCTTTTCACTCACCGTGGGACATCCCACACATTTTTAACTCAACGTGGGACATCCCACACATTTTTTACTCAACGTGGGATATCCCACACATTTTTCACTCACCGTGGGACATCCCACACATTTTTTACTTAACGTGGGACATCCCACACATTTTTTACTCAACGTGGGATATCCCACACATTTTTCACTCACCGTGGGACATCCCACACATTTTTTACTCAACATGGGATATCCCACACATTTTTTACTCAACGTGGGACATCCCACACATTTTTTACTCAACGTGGGACATCCCACACATTTTTTACTCAACGTGGGATATCCCACACATTTTTCACTCACCGTGGGACATCCCACACATTTTTTACTCAACGTGGGACATCCCACACATTTTTTACTCAACGTGGGATATCCCACACATTTTTCACTCACCGTGGGACATCCCACACATTTTTAACTCAACGTGGGACATCCCACACATTTTTTACTCAACGTGGGATATCCCACACATTTTTAACTCAACGTGGGACATCCCACACATTTTTTAACTCAACGTGGGACATCCCACACATTTTTAACTCAACGTGGGACATCCCACACATTTTTTAACTCACCGTGGGACATCCCACACATTTTTTAACTCACGTGGGACATCCCACACATTTTTTAACTCAACGTGGGACATCCCACACATTTTTTAACTCACCGTGGACATCCCACACATTTTTCCTCTTTACCCAACCACATTGTAAATGACCCCTTTCCTACATGTTGACCCCAGTGCCTCCGTAGGGCCTGTGGTAAGCTGTCTGTTGTCGTGAGATTTAAAAAAAAAAAAAAACCGATGGGGAAACGATTATGTCCACAGCAGGAGTCGAACCCACGTCTTCTTGTGTAAACATAGAGCGGTCAACCATATTGAAAAGATGTGTTACCACTACACCATGTGGACGACAGGCATAGATATTCTGATCTGAATAAACAGTTGACAATTGAGTTATGTCTGTGAACCCTTACTTACCTTGGCATTAAATTTGCTGTCTTAGTCGATACGCACGTCAAGTCGTTTGCTTGTCAAAGATAAGCCCCTGGCCTTAACATGACCAAACAACTGCTACGGCCCCAAAAAGGCAATTTTGCAAAAAAAAACTCCTTTCTTCACATGTCGAAGTCATTACATAACTGCATATTCATAGGCATAAGTAAGGTGTACAAAGGAGGTATTCATAGGCATACTAATCATACTAATTAAAAACTCTCGAACCAGCAACACCGTATGTAAAAGCACGACCTACTCGGTATCGTAAAGCCGAAGCCTCTTAACTTCCGCACAGTAGATCCCGCGGTCCTCCTCCGTGGCCAAAACTGGGGTGTGGTTGTTAGGTATCCGACCGTATATCGCGCGGTCCGTGTTCCACATAAATGTATGAACGTCCGCGATGCTGCGCTGCTGCACCTCTTCGAAGCCCTTGGCGTAGAAAGAGCGGCTCTTCTTGTCGCCGACGAGGAACCGCAGTTTGTGCCTGGGAGATGGGAGCTCCTCCATGTCGCGCTGGTGTTTCGGCTCCCGCTCCATCGCTCCAGGCTCCGTGTCCGGCTGCTTCCTTTTAATGGGTTTGTCCTTCACTGCCGCCTCCTTCCCTCCCCTCTGCTTGGCTGGCGTCCTCGGCGGGTTCAGACGCTGCACGAGCGCGTGCCCCGCGTGAAGTCCACGCGGGGAAGCGGCTTGGACTCTTCACGACAGTGCGACGACTCCGGCAGACGGTGAGGCGGACGGTCCATCCTCGAATCATTGGCTTTGGGTGCTCGAGGGGAAGTGTCGGCGCCGGGGCGGAGGAGGGCGCAAGGCGGCTGTCTGTTTGTATTGTATTTGAGACCCTGCGCGGCGGAACCAGCGAGTGGCCGCCATCGCGACGCTGGGTGGCATGACAGGGATCGGCTTCCGCTGCGACACGTGTCCTGTAGGTGGGACGACTCCGCACGAGCCGTGGTGAGGCAGCATCAAAATGACGGTACTGTCGTGCTTTTGGGGCAGCCGCGGCGACTGGGGGCGAGGGGATCGGCCGCGAGGGGATCGGTGGCGAGGATACTCGTCGTCTCGACAGTAGTATCGTCGTTGTGTCGGCGCGAAGGGCGATGCTGGTCGACATCAAACATTTGCGGGGGAGGGGTCGGAGACCTGTGCGCATCTTGACGGTAGTACTCTCGCGGTGCCGCCGACCGCTCGCGACGCCGCGTGGATGGGGGTCATCGTACCTGTCGTCCTCCGGAGAAGCACCCCGAGGGCGACTACCCTTGTCTTTCCGCCCTTTACGCAGCTCTTCTCCTCCTTGTCCGCCCTTTTGCGCTCACTCACCAACTCCTTGTCGTACGCCTTGCTCTGTTTGACGTATGCCAATGCCGTGCCATCCACGTTAGTGATGAGCGGCACCTCGCCTTGTTCTTCAAGCGGCAACGACATCTCATCTACAAATCTTAGCATCGCGTTCCGGTGTCGAGCTGAAAACCTACCATCGTCCCAAGCCACAATCTCCATCACGGTAGTATCGTCGTCGTCGGCGGTCCATTGCGTTGTCGGTTAGCCTTCATGAGCGCCGGCATAAACTCCTTGAACGTTTCGACCCTGATTTTCTTCACGTCGAATTTTTTACCGATAATGTGGCCTTGATCCTCCAACGCGGCGGGGTAATTCCGGATGCGGCACTTGTTTTCGAAGGCGACGTCGAGGAACTTGGCGTTCCACTTCATCTGAAACTTGGTCGGGTCCAACTCGTGCTCCCCCAGAGTACCGGCGTTGCGACAATGATTCCCTGTCGAATCGTTAGCGCAGTCGGCAGCCCGACAACGTACTTACAACTGAATCCCTAGGATCTTCGACCATTGGGACCGAAAGTCATCGCGCGCCGACTTGCTGCTGTCTTCCAAACCTGCGGCGGGCCGCAGCGCCTGGGCGGCCATCCCACGCTTCCTCAGCTCGATGTTCCTACTGCGATGTTAGTGTTTTCACGTTTGTCAAATAAATAAAAGAGTCGCACCCGAAGATGTGCTCTTGATCCTTGCATTGGTCAGTAAGGGCATACGAATGGGCGGCTCGCATTTCTTTAAACTCGTCGCCAGCCCCGAATACATAACTTGCGTCCCCGCGAGGGTCGACGACGAAGCCCCACACATGAACGCCGTAGGTCTTTGTATCATATGCGCCTGCGAATCAAGGTTAGTCTCCTCACTTCAAATACTTGGACGACGAGGACGTACCGTTGTATTACCGCCTCATCTCCTGCTGAAGCTGCTTCTTCAGACCGTTCTTCTCTCGGTAATTGACAACGGCCTGCGCGACTAATTTGTCGTGCCACTCTTTGAGCCATGGTAGCCGTGTGTAGACGGCCTCGGTGTTGTGAATCATGTCTGCGGTGAATTCGTCGTCGATTCCGCAAGCCGTTATTAACGCCTGCCGACAAGTAGCATTGAGGTTGGAGCCCGCTACAAGATAGCGTCAGCATTCGAAGGGGCGAGGAGGGGATGCAAGACTTACCTCTTGGGTCTTGTCGCGTGTCTCCGCCCAATATTGCTGCCACACGTTCCATGCAGACAGCGCCCGGGGTGTCTTGATGGCAGACGTTCCCAGCAGTTGATGCAACGTCGAAGGCGCTTTGTTACAGTCTTTCACAATGTGTCCATCTCCTTGATAAATTTGTGTATGCGTCGTGCACGCGCTGGCGGATCTGGTCGGTACGGGCCCGGAGGCGTGGTCGCCGTCGGCCCATCGTTGTCGTTGTCGTCGTTGTTGTCCTGCATGTAGCTGTTCATCACTGGAGCCTTCCCTTCCCTTCCCCTTCCTCCCCTTCGCCTTCCCCCGCTTTGGACTAGCCGCGCAGGCCCCGGACACCTGGTCAGCGCCCTCCTTCGCCTTCCCCTTGGTCTTCGTCGACTTTGCCTTTGCAGCACCAGCGCCGTTGCTACTGCTTTGGTTTCCCTCGCCGCCTTCGACTTGGACTTCTTCTTCTGGGTGACTTCCTCCACGTCCTCGAACCCATTCGCCTCGATCTCCGCCTCGAACTCCTCCATATCCTCTTGGTCGTCCTCCACCTCGAGTGAAGGAGACATCCGACCCCCCCTCTCGAGCACCTTAATCTCTTCCTTTCTCGCTCCTCCTCCGCCTTTCCATAGTCGTCCTCGCTGTCGTCAGACTCCGACTCCACGACAGCGGCGGTGACGACCGTGGCAAGGGGGAACACCGAGAAGGGGTGCGGCCGCGGGTGGGTGTAAACTCAGCGTCCACATGTGGTGCCGCTGTGCTGGGACGACGCTCCGACGGTGAGGGCGAATGTGACTCGGGGGAGTGGCTGCGGGCTGGTAACGTGTTGGTCCCGCGGATGGGGAGCGCGAGCGGGAACCTGCTCTTTCTGCGGACCGTCCACGCGGTGAAGTGAGGGAGTGATGAGGAGAGCCCGGGTGCCCCTGCGAATCCGCAAGCAGCGTGCGGCGCACGGGCGAGTCGACCGAGTGGGGCTGCTGGTCTTCCGGTTCTGCAGAGTCTGCTGAGCATGAACGGGAACCGGGCTCTGCAGAGTGGCGACGACGAATACTGGGGGAGGAGGGGCAATAACCCCCAAAGTGCTGCTCGTGCTCCTCCTCGTCCACCTCGTCCTCGTCGTCCTCAACGTATCGTATGGTGCTCTCATCCTCAAAGGCGTACTCCGGCGCCTCCAACTCCTGGTCGTACAGCATATCAAGGGGCTGCTCGTGCACTTCTCCTGTCTCTTGCGAATTGGCGTATCGCCTGCGATGCCCAAAGAGACTAAACCGATCGTTGCATGCCTCTGTGTCTTCATCTTGGTCTGCTTTGCGAGCGGTGCCAGCCTCAGTCTTGGGCAAAGGATGCGGCTTTGGACGTTCTATGATGACTTCCACCATCCTCTGGAAAGGACGCGGCTTGCGACCTTCTATGATGGCAGGGGCATCGGGATGGGGGCAGTAGTCGTCTGCAAGGGTGAGAAAAGCCCGTCATTAGCTTCCTCGACGAAATGACCTTGTCAAAAAATCATACCGAATTGATATCTGGTGCATTATTCGGCAGCGCGCCCTGGGCGGGAGCATTTGCGGTGCGGTTTCTCTGTGGCAAAAACAAAGTCGTTAGTATTCATATGTCAAATGTCAAACCCGCCAAAAAAAAATAACTTACACATCCTGCGCGTCGTGAGGTCGGCGGAGATCTCTTTCTGTCAGGGCCAGTCAGCTTGGGGGAAAAATCTACGCGTGGATGACCCACAAAGGTGCGGGGATTCGGCTTGGGTTTTGGCTGAAAATATGAGACTTCAGTTCGGCCGTCAAAAATATAACCACCAAAATAAAATACCTGGCGCTTGGGTAAGGGTTTCGGTGGCTCTATGCCCTTAGCCTTAGATCTAGTGAAGGGCATTGTGTTGTTGTTTCTGAGAGGGAGGGAGCTTGTTGGCTCGACCGTGTCGGTGGTGGTGATTAACAAGAATAATTGAGACGCCTAGTTTTTTTTTTGCAAATCCACAAGTCCTCGGGTCCTTGTGCTTGTGTGGCAGCGTAGATTCCACACCATTGTTCCAACGGATGCATGCGGGCACTTTGAACGTTGCTTTGAATAGTCATGGTGGTGGCCCGTCTCGATTAGGCAAATGGTGGTCGCACTCGTCTTAATCTAGCCAGACAATGTAAGTGTCTCCAGGACATATAAAGGCAAGAGTGACTCACATAAGGCATCTCCATCCTTGGATCCCCTCCATTCCACGTCCTTCAAGATAATTTTTTCTTTCTTTCGAGCTTCAGCGCGCATCTGTCCACGCGCGTCCTCTCCCGATCGTCTCCCCGCGCCTCCCGTTGTCGGCCACCTGTGCAATAGTCAGTGGCATGCCTTGGACCGCCTTGCCCTTCAAACCCACCAAAATTCCGGCCATGCGCCGCACCATCAAAATCCCGCCG